GTCACCACATGATCATTTTTTCCAGACTGGAGAAGAAGAGAAGAAGCTTGGAGCACAATCTGATTATGGATGGCATTGAATGAAGAAATCCATTAAAGGACTTCCAGCAAGAGACAATTTGGGGGTGCATCCTGGATAGGGTGGTGTTTGAGAATGGGAGGGACCTCTGTGGGAGATAATGCCATAAACAGGGCTCTTTTTGTGGCAGGAACTCCTTTGCATGTTAGAGGACACCCCCCCCCCAATGTGGACCATCCTCCCAAAGCTAACAGTCCTAACAGTAGCCCCTGTAAGAAGAGCTCTGTAAGCTCTTGGAGGATTGGCTACATTAGGGGGGGTGCCGCCTAATATGCAAAGGAGTTCCTGCTACAAAAAGAGCCCTGAAGTCCACCCCTCCAAAGCATCAATTTTCTGTAGGACTGATTTGTAATTCTGGGAGACCTTCAGCCAACACCTGGAGGTTTGCAACGCAGATCAGAACTTTCACCCATCTATTTGGGCTATCCTTCAGAAACTTGGATACAGAGAATGTAGGCATTTTGGCAGAGGGAGGTTTGCAATGGAAGAACCACCAAATCATGTTGTGCTACTGATATGTTGTACTACAGACTTAGTACACAGAACACAGACATTCACCTATGACTACAGATTGTTTCAGGTCTCTCTCTAGACATAGATAGGATCCATACAGTGCTGAATGTTTTGCTACTGTAATCATTCATCAGTATGACTTTGTGTCTGGACTAGGAACAAAATAACCACAATACTTCTGTGTCCAGTGATGTGCAGATACAGTTATCTCTCCATTCACATCTGACCATCTATTTCTTTCTGTCATCTTATTTAGTCCATCATCCCACCAGCCCACCCATTCATTGCAGATAAGCTGATAGCTTGCTCTGTCAAAGGGCAACAGCTTCAGTTGTTTAAAAAGTACAGAAGAGTGTGTGTGTTTTAGTAAGAAGACCTTGTGTCTTATATGTTGTGTGAGATGCAAATCAAGGAGACACCTGCCTCTATAAATCTGTGTTGCTATTTCCTGATTTCATTTGGCTGATGAGATGTCAATTTCCTTGACTCAGGAGGAAACATCAAATCCATCACTTTAAGGTTTCTCCCTAACACCACAGAAGATGGCCTACTGGCTCCTCTGGATTGTCATGTTAGCAGTTTGGGAAGGTATTCTTCTTGCCTGTGACATGATTGTCATGAGATGTGACCCATCTTTACAATTTGTGCATGGTACAAAAGCAAGGCTGTATTAATATAGTTGCTAAATGTTCCTTTTTGTTGTCCAGGAGTCCATTCAGAAGTTGTTCTGACCCAAGGGGGTTCAGAGATGAAGAGGCCCAGTGAATCCATTCAGCTGACATGTTCCACAAGTGGATTTGTTGTGACTGACTATTGGATGGCTTGGGTCAAACAGAAGCCAGGGGAGGGCCTGAAATGGCTGTTATGGTACCGGAAATCTTCTGAAACCAAATACTATTCCACCACCATCCAAGGACGATTCACAGCCTCCAAGGATAGCTCCAATTTTTATTTGCAAATGAACAGCCTGAAAGTGGAGGACACAGCTGTGTATTACTGTGCAAAACAAGATACACAGTGAGAGAATGACAATCAATGGTCACACAAAAAAACCTTCAAAAGAACAGACTGCGGAAGGCATTTCCTGATGGTGGAGCCAAACACCATACTAAAGTCAGAAGTCATGGGGAGAACTTCTCTGCTTCTTACCAAGAGGCTGATCTGCAATGCAAAATGTAATGCTTTTCTTCCATACTGGTGAACACCAGAAATGGGTGGCCAGTCCATAGCACCAGGGCACAGAAGTACATACAGGTGGTTCCCCATCCGGCAATATCACTAAGTTTTCTATATTAGAAAATTAGACTATTATTGTTCGTAGAGTTTTTTTTAAAAAAATCTATCCCTATATTTCTAATGGTGAACGGCAGTGGGAAGTAATCTATGCCTGGCCTCCAAATCTACCTTTAATGTAGTAGCGCACACGTTTTGCTTGTTAAAAGACCCAAGTGAATGTATACTGCTTGTCAGTTCCTGGAAGCCGCCCTGAGCCTGCCTAGCAGGGAGGGCGGGGTAAAAGTGAAATAAATAAATAAACAAGTCCAGTCCTAGCATTTCCATGTGAGAAGAATGCTCAAGTGGGTGGTGCTCAGAGACCTCTTGAATGCCTGTGGTCCCAGAGAGCACCTGCCAAAATATGAAGCTAGGTACACCAGTGGTCTGACATGGCACAAAATCCTTTGACATACTTTTGTACATTTCATATTTATCGCCTCGTGGCGACAAAAAATGCCATTACTTTCCCCCGTTAATACAACAACAAAAAAACACTTCAATCCCAATTTGCTTAGTCATGATTGAATGAAGTCACCACACAAACATTGTCCCAGGCTGAAGAAGAAGAGAAGAAGTTTGGAGCTCATTCCAAGTATGGGATGGAATTAAACAAAGGGATGAATGAATGGACTTCTAGCAAGAGGCAACGGGGATTTCAAGTCAGGGAAGTTCAGCTCTCCTCATCAAAGCCTGAGTCAGGTCCGGAAACACGAACAAATCAGAAACATGGACACAAAAAAATGCTTTCACATGATATACTTGAATATACTTTTAAAAATGTACCTGTTTGATATCTATGTTACCAATAGGTTTGCCAGCTTCCAGGCAGGACCTGGAGAT